CTGTGAGCCAGTCAACTCGGAAAATGTTGTACTGAAGGGTGGGATGTCGGGACCGCTGAGCTGACTTCGAATTTTAAAACTATACCACGCTTTATCCCCTTGGTCTGCTGTTCCCTCGATGCACGTAATCAGTTTCATAGACGCTCTACATACTTGGCGCAATGGATTGTACTTCTTCTTTCAAGCCAGAGGTTTAACCCTTTAAAACCTCCAAGAGTGACTAACAACTAATTTCCCCTTACAACATCACCCCGGAAATCAAACATTAAGGTCATGAGAATAAAGGACATGATCACCAACTAAAGAAACCCTTGATTGTTGAACAAATTCTCCTTGTCAGAACCCTAGGAAATGTAGAGAGAACAGTATGGAGAATATGCATGCTGATATGAGGGAGTAAAGGGTTAAGGATCGATCATTTGTGGCTGGAAATTTCTTTCTTAGGGGGGGGTCTTTCCCTTTTCTTCTTTCCCTCCTTTTTCGTGTCTTTCATGGACGTGCTCAGGGGACATATTCTTGTGCCCCCGTACATCGACGTCAATACAGCCCCTTAGTTTGACGGACCTGAGGTTTTAAAGGCAAAGCATTGTTTAGTAGTGAACTGGAAGAAGCAGTGGAGGGAATGTTGCCGGTGTCTCAGCATTGGAGACAACGTGGCTATATAGATTGATGGAAGGATTGTTTATTGTCATCTTCAACAGTAGACAATTCGTGACCGTGAAAGATGGGGATAGAATCATGTCGAGTATCGATTACGACCAGAGCTACCCGCAATCAGTACTGAAAGGAGAATGGTTGGGTTTGTCAGATAACAAGGATCTTTGAGGCAGCAAACAGAGACTTGGCTACGATTATAAGAGGAATGCTCCGCCGAGTCTGAGATTAGAGACCTTAAATGCAGACAGGACGACAACGCCAAAGCTTCGCTAAAACTGAATTTATTTTTCGTTGTATTTTCCGGAATGGGTAGGTGTCTTCACCGTGTCTAATGGCGCCAGACCTCAACTTCAGCTTAAAATATGCGAGCGTTAGCAACGTTGAGTTTTCAATATAAACATAAATAATTCCCCGTCAATGTTTAAACTCTCGGACCACGTAAGTTTTGGTAGTTTCTGGCCTTGCTTTGGAAAGGGCGGCCAGCAATTATACAATGTTTTAAAATGCACGTGTTTTTCTACTCGAAAGTGGGTCAATTTTGGGCCGATGACAATAGCTATTCCTACCTCCATAGTGACTTAAGGTGGACCAAATGTTGTAGTTGTTTTTCTTTTTAAGATTTAGCCAAGTAGACTATTAAAGTTTCAGTTCGTTGAAAAGAAAACTTAATAAGCACCCCTTCGATCAAGCACCTTTAGCTGAAATTTTAAATAAGCAACCCGGGCGCTTGATCGCGGAAATACGATATTCTGAGTTGACCGAAAAGCGACATCAAATTTAATATAAAATATTTCCTAGGATCGCATGGTCTCACATATTGACTGTCTGGAATAGGCTTCAGTTTTGATGCTTGAGTTGTGCAGCGCATAATTCTCATCTGTCTGTCGTACTTCATCATTTTATCTTTATCTGTATGATGCGTTAGCTGTGCAACTATGTAGTCTCGTTCCCAGTTCTACGACGACCGACTAGACAAGTAGGACTTGGTTACGAGATCAAATACTTTCGAATATAACTAAACCTTGGGAAAAAATGACAACACAAGCTGAAACTGTACAGACAACAGATAACTTGATGAAATTATTGGCTACGATTTACAACATATTTCAGTCTCAAGAAAAGAAAACTATTTACTTAGTTTCACTCGGTAGGTATTTCAAGATACGTTACTCCCCGCACAGGAAACAAGCCGGATACAGTGAAAGAAAGTAAGGTTAGACAGATTAAGATTAAACGGAAAACACCTCATTTTATTAGATAGTTTGTAAATAAATGGTTCATACAAAAATATTCAATCGATTGCAGCCCAACTCCATACTATACAAACTAGGAGTCTTTAAAATTTCCCCCTGACTCTCTGTCTTACATAACTGCTTCTTTTTATTTTTTGTTACGATTTTTAAGTTTCCCATAACATTTTTCACGAACGAAATCGTTTGCTTACGATATGATCGCTTGAAGCTTGTACTAACCTGTAAATATAATAACTTCCTTTACTTCTGCACCTTTTATTTCAACTGATTTAAACCTGTAACCTCCCAGAAGTGATTTACATGAAAATTCTCTCCACGATAAACAGACAGTATCCAGCAAACAAGTAACGAGAACGCTTAAAATTATCAGTAGAGATTTTTGTCTTGGTCTATTTCCGAATTCTCTATTTTGCAAGGAAGTGTAAATCAATTAGAAGGGCAAATGAACAATTGAAGGGTTAAAAATTTCTTGTCATTGTCGGGTGCCTTTTTGTCGGTTAAATATTGCCGTAGCAGTTTTTTTAAGCGCACTATTTCAATAATAAAACTTGCATTAACTTTTAGGAATGATAAAAACTAACACAGAGCAAAGATTATGCTTATGCATTGGTCTTCCTTAAAACGCTCTTTGTAAAAAAATTATACTTCACTTTTCCTAGGTCGCCCTCGTTTTATATCTAAAGTTTATGCCAGTTTTCTCTTTCGATCGGGGTCTGCTTTTGTCTCCTTTTTCATGATTTTATCAGTTTTTTCTTCAGTAAAGGTGACAACGGAAATCGTTTTACGGCGATACGTGTAGCACTGCTGCGGGTACTGCTGGGATTGCATTTGGCTGTCTTGATCTTGTGGTGTAACTGGGTACCAGCTCTCCGTGTGCGTTGGATGAAGATAAGATTCCTGGCTCATCATGATTGGTGGAGGAGACGACTCGTTCATCGACGACCTGTGGTGAGAACACGTGACCAAAAAGATTTGTTATGCGGTGGCTTAACGGTTTGAGTGTTAAACCTCGGATCGAGAGGCCCTGGCTCTAGTCCCGGCCGGGTCATGTGAGTCAATCTCTTACTTGGACTTTCTACGCATCTTAAACTTAACCCTAGACAATAATTTTTGGACTCTAAGCAGTCATGTTGGTATTAAGAAGTACCTTCTCCGCATACTTACTTTACTATAGTGGAGTCCGGTTCTGAATTGTCCTGATCCTGAAAATGTGAAAAACGTAGTTAAAGTAAATTTCCGTTTAAATTTCTGCTTCCCTTTTTTAAACTTCTGGTAGTATCTGAGCTTTGTAGACGTTTTCAGTTACCAGATACAGTCAATAGATGCTATCGCCAATAAATCAAAACTCTTGGCTTGAGATAGCTGTTCCAGGCACTCACTTTGTAAAACGGAGCGAAATACTAAAACGGCCCGATATTAGCGCTAGATAGAAAATGAGGGAGGTTTGGGTCGAGGTTTGAGGGAAGTTTGTGGCCCGATGTTAGTGCCAGAGAGAAAATGAGGGAGGTTTGTGGCCCGATGTTAGCGCCAGAGAGAAAATGATTGAGGTTTGGGTCGAGGTTTGAGGGAGGTTTAGGTTTGGCCCGTATTAGTGGCGGAGAGAAAATGAGGGAGGTTTGGGTTTGGCCCGATATTAGCGGCAGAGAGAAAGCGAGGGAGAGTTGGGTCGAGGTTTGGGTTTGGCCCGATCTTAGTGGCGGAGAGAAAATGAGGGAGGTTTGGGTCGGGTCGTGTCGTGTCGTGTCGTGTCGTGTCGTGTTCCTCACGGGTCGTGTTTATTACGATTCAGAAACTCTCGCCACAATAATGTCTCTGTCAGTGAAATTACCTCAGGGGTGTATTCGGTAAGATCTGGCATCTCTAAATCTTGTGGTTCCATCGCGGTGCTGCAAAAAGCAACAGTTGCTCATTAGTACATTCAATGACAGAAGATTGACTCAGTCATTATTTTATTACCCGGGGGTCGAAGGGCGTTTTTTGGGGAGAGGGTTCACTTTGTCTTCGGGTGGGGCGGAGGAGGGCTCAAGCGCTACTGACAAAGTATACAGGGGGGAACATGTGTTACTGTCGATGAGTGGGGTGGGGGTTCGTTAGAATGCTACAGAGCCTTTGGGTGAGTTCAGGTTAATTTAATTGGGACATAACTAAAATTCTCTTCCCCTACCCCCACTCCGTCGATAAATAATTACAGGTCGTCAATGAAAAGATTAAATTACACTCTTGTGGCAGTCTTGAAAGTCCGAGATCGAGAGACAAACAGTTCTGCAGTTCTGCGTATGGCTGTAAGACAATCGAGTTTTAGATAACTGTAAATTGTGTTTGGATTTGACAAAAACCCAGGAAGACGTTTCAGAGCAAAAGCGAATTAAAAGAATCATAAATTTGTTCTCACAATTTGTTTTCCATGTTTGCAAATAATTCTAGTGCAATGGCGATCCTCTTCATCATCAGATAATTATTGAATCCGCAGATCTGAAAAAAAACATTGAAAACTGTCAGCAATGCCATGCACAGCCAGGCTAGTAAGCTTAAAATTATATGTAGGTAGCTTTGCATGCTTCAACATATGTATAGAGAAAGAAACAGAGTGCGCATGCACGAAGACTTTTTTCTCTTTTTACGTTAAATTTACCTTAAGGTTGTAAACTGTGCTGTCTTCCTTGGACATCTTCGAGCCAAAACACTGTAAATCGTTTCCATCTACAGAAAGAAAGAAAAACCTAGGTTAATCCAGAATTGGGTAATTTGGTATTATCAACTGAGTTGATAGCGTAAATTGGCCACTGCAAAGAGTTTAAAAGCTGACAAAGGGCTACGCTCGAAACGTCAGTTTTTTTGAAGTCTTTACGGTGGCCAATTTACGTTATCAACTCAGTTGATAAAACCAAATTACCCTGTTATACTCTCCCACCGACTTAGCACCACAGTTTATTTAAAAACTTACCCCACTTAATCCAGAGTTGCTTCGGTTTTTGCTCTTGTCTTTGAGTGATAAAAATACCTCAGGCCGACCAATCTTGACTCACGCCAACCAATCTTAACTGACCAATTGCGACTTGGCTGCTCGCGTTTTCCCGCGCTTTACGCCACTTACGTTGGTCTACTTTGACTTATCGTTGGCTCGTTGTAATATCTACCAGTGCTTTTATTGGCAGTAGTAAGTACATTGGCTTTAACTTTACGATACAAAATCAGGTTCTTTGGAATTAAAGGAGCTAACGATGGCAGTCGCCTCTTTCGAGAAATCTAACTCCATGCACCAAAAGTGCATTTAGACCTTAAATCGACTTTAACCGAAGCTATGAAATTGACTCTAAAATTCAAATCGCTTATGTTCACCAACTCACTTGCTTTAGGCTTTTTCCTTTTGCCAGGACGGTTAATCGCCTCTATTTCTTGCTTTGAGTCCCGTCCTGGGCATGCACAGACTCTGACGTTGACGTAACATCTCCCCAGGACTACGCTGCCGGTTCTCAATAGGAAAATAATATAATTTTCGACTCTTATTCAGGTAATTAAGCTGAATCACTGCCTGCACTTCTTGACAAATGTAGTCTAAAATTGTGGATCGGGTCACTTTGTAATCCGTGTCAATCTTCACCATCTTTGGTCTTTGGAAAACAGTCATTATACATCGCTTGAGGAGGGGGGCAGGGGCTTCAGAGGAATTTTGAGAGGATCATATGGTTTTTAAGGGGAACAGAGGGTAAATCAGTCGTCGCCAAAGGAGATTTAGAAGGGGGAGGGGACTGTTGAAACTTGATGGCCAATTGACTATCAATGAGGAGGGAGGGGGGTCATAGAAATATTACAGAGCTTTAGGGGTGAGGGGTCAGGTATAATTTTATCATGGCACAACCAAAATCCTCCGACCCCTCTCCCTTTGGTATTAAATAATGACTGTTGCGTAACGTTACTTTGTCACACATGCTTTTAACACAGGTGACTCATAACTTACAGATCTTCCAGGGTAAAGATGACTTGAATAGGTCTCCTATTCAGACCCCCGCAGGAGTTATTACAGATGAAGTAGAACAGTTCATGTACTCCGAGATCATCTGCGTCGTCAGCTGAAAACAATGATTTTCAGTTAGAATGTGTTTGAAACTAAGAAATGACCAAATACAGCTATTCCGAAATAAAACACACTTTTTCAATTTCCAATTTTCAATTTCCACCCTTTACGACCAGTAAGAGGCAGAACTCAAAGGGAATTGTGGATTTTTCACCCGCGTCTGTCCGCGTATAAGACAGCTGACAGGTATACACTTTAGGTTGTTATTCAGTTTGCGAAATCAGTTGTAAGGCTCACCTGAAGCTGGTCCTCGCAGTGGTATCCTGACAGAGTGCCTGGTGGTCTGAGGACATTCCTCGTACTCAGCCTCCTGGTTGTCACAGCGGAGGAAATGTCCCGTCGCTGGGCCTAAGAACAAATGCACCAAGTTGAAGAATTCTCTTAATTAACTTCCTCTGTTATAAGTTTTGCCCAAGAAGAATCTGGAAAATATCATTCAACTGGGTCCAACATTAATTTTTTCTTTCTCACGGTTTTTTCCCGCGCAGAAAGCTGGAGGTAATCTGCTTGAATTCATCTCTGACTCTTGGCGATGTTTACGTTTGCATGGCCTTCGCATCGTATTCACTGAAAAACTCTTCAGAAATTACTACCGCCAAACCCCAAAAACATGAGAAGTAAATTTTTTTCTTACCAGAGTGTTCTGCGGTATGATTTCGACAGCAGCGCACCACATCTTTCGCATGCTCGGGTTGTCTGAACACAGGCATGGCGCGAATAAATGCTCCAGATGGCGGGGGGCCTGGGTACCAAAAAAATGGACCAAACATGATATATGCAGTTATTGAAATAAATAAATAAATAAATAAATTGACTACTTATAACGGTATCACTCACCTGTGGTTAAAAACCTGACTGGACAAGGAGTCTTTGACTTAATATACAGCTTCTTCTGACTCACTGAGAACTGTCGAAAAAATTCATGTAAGATGAAACAACTTAAAATTTCTTTAGGGATATTTTGAGAACCGGAGAAACAAAGACCTGATTGTCATACAAAAGTTTCGTTTTGAAATATATATTTCACTGATTAAAACTGTGTTCACGATGTCTAGGAATTTCAAACTATTCTTTATTCGTAATTAACTTGAAAACCTGGTTATTCAACACTTGACACAATAAAAGTTACTTTACTCTCTCATCTCTATATCTTTTTAAATAAAAGTCGATCAGCTGACGAATTCGTAATTAACTCGCAAACCTGGTAATTCAACACTTGTTACATTAGAAGTTACTTTACTCTCTCTTCTCTATAATTTTTTTCAGTAAGAGTCAATTAGCCGAGAGAGAAAATAATTCCCTGGAAAAATTTAAACCAACTTATTCCTTATACTCACAATCCAGTCCGGGTTGGCAACTTTCTTAGGCTGTAAAGAGAACATTCAAAATGACGTGATTAGTAGCGCCTCTAAAAATGGCGACGAAAAGTTAAAAACTTTCTGTTACTTTTGAGTTGCAACTGGAACTAGCTGGAGATAAAAACTGTCACAAATCAGGGGCACAGTGTTACCTGGGTTTCAAGAATCATCCTGAAGTTGAAGTCACCAAGAAACTCATTCCTGAACAAAAAGAAGAAATTTATTGTTTATCGGAAGAATTTCAATCAGACTTGACTTCTGAAGTATGAAAAACTACGATAAATGAGATACGTGTGGAAGATGGAAGAGGTGCGATGCAAGAATACAAAAAGGAAACTTCGGTAAGACCTGGTTAAATTTCTAGAGTAACTTTCTCGTATCCTAGAAAGTAAACAGATGTCATTGCTCACGTGCTCGGTGACGTCACGTGCGGCGGGGATAAATTCATGAGGGTATGAGGAGGAAACCTGGGGCTGAGAGGCGTCGGCGTCAGGGGCTCGACGAATTCTGAGAACTCTTCAGTTTCTTTCGTAGGGAGCAACAAGGTTTCAGGCTGAAATAATCAAACAAGGAACCCATCAGTAATGTTTGCATTGTTTGTTTCTACTATCTGCACTTTTCTCCCGGTTTTTTTTCTCAATTTTTCTTTCTGTCTCCCATACGATTCTTATGATTTTAGTTTGGAGAATTTGATATTGGATCAACAAATAATCCTAATTGATATTTTTCTCTATTTTTACCATTAGCATGCTTAAAACTGTATTTATATCGAAAGAAAAAAATCCTGTTATAGTCACCAACTATTCTGGTTCTTTTTCTGCCTTCATCTAAAAGGTTTTCCTTTTTAGAAAGCTAATATTTTGAGGTCTTCCCAACTTTGGAGTTAACTTTTAACTACTAAGAAAATTGCGAACTAGCACTTTCAAAACTCGAATTAAGAAGCTATTTTTTTTTTGCTATGACTGGTTCAGTTGAACAACATTTAACAATTTCGAAGTCCAAGGAAAATACAAGTCAACTCTCTGCAGGTATTTTATAACTCAAATGGGTTCTTCAAGTACTGTTGTACTTCCTCGCAAAAGGATCCAAACTTATCCTAAGTCGAAAAACCTTCTCTGTTTCTGTCTAGTTACCATTTATGTGCCTTTTTAATAAATATATTCGCTCCCCTATGTCGAGCGGAATGGAAGAAATGTGTCATAGTTGGTAGCTTGGAAAATAAACAGCTTTCTTTAAGCTAAATTTCTAGTGAAATAACCAATAAAACATCCGTCATCCCGAATGTTTGGCTCTTTTCAATCTGAAAGTTAATCACAAGCTGTACTGGAACGAGAGAAAAGAAAATTTCTAACACGCACTTAATGAGAATCAGAGCTTACCGGATCGTGTGGGTACAACATCGTTCCATGTTGGTGTTCTGTGTCAAGTTGATCTAAAAATTCAATAGATTCCTTGTAAATACCTATAACTAAGTGACAGTTCAATCAAAACACAGTATTTAGCTGTCGCGAATTTCAGAGGACATTGCGCTTTACAACTCGAATAACTTTTCGCGTGTTGTTTGCATCATTTTAATAATACAAAGAGAAGCGACCTTTCTTTTGAAAACAAACGCAGCTATGGTGAGCTGTATTGTCCGCAAACACTCAAAGAATTCGTAATTTATCTACTGCTGACAAGAATTCGAAGTATGAAATGACGGATCAATAACTTTGCATCCACGAAACTTGTGCTTTCCTCCCTAAACGAGAAAACTGTTTCTTTCAAAAAAAAAAAAAAAGCTGCTTACTAGAAGTGCTTTCGCCCTAAGAGCTATTTCCCCATAAAATGTTTTTGGAAATTAAGTTGATTTATGCAAAAATTATTGACGGACCAAAGCGCACGAAAGGTGCCACTTCGAATGGCACCTTTGTGCATAGGCTCTACGATCGAGCTCACTCATTGAAATAATTTAATTGATTCGAGGCTTATCAGATGGATTAATGATCATCAGACCATTCAGTTCTTTGTTGTAATTGGGATTGAAACTTATTTTCTCTTTAGCAATTTCAATGAAAACGTGAGGAAAATTATAACACTCGTCAGCTTAAGAAAGCGCTCGAATAAAAAACCGAGCTTTTAAGACAACGTGAATGATGAGTAACAGATCGTAGAGAGAATTGATAATTTCATCAAACTTCGGTTTGTTGAGACTAACGCACACCTGTTAAATTTCAACACTCGTTCTTAAACAAGGGGCGATTTTAATTGCTGGGAAATTTTCCAAACCTCATTCTGTCTCGCTGCTCATATAGAAATATACCGACTAAAATCAAGTTCGTGTAATCCGAAAATTTCTCAATCGCAAAATAATCAAAATTCGCCCAAAGTGATTGAACGCGCTTAATTATTGCTAACGCCGTAGTTACTTCCCTGTTCAGCGAAATATCTTTGTTACTGTTTTTGTTTTGTAGTATATGAATAAAAAGGCTTATTGCATGAGAGAAAAGAAACAAAGTACAAATATTTACCATCTCTGGTAAGAACTGTCCGATTCAACAAATTTCTCAGTCTGGATACTGACTATGTAAGCTTTTACAAATCTTTTTTTGAAGAATCAAAACAAATTTTCAATCTTTCGGCCATGAATCTATCTTAAGTAAATAAATTCGAATCATTCAGACCATAAGCGATTTTGAGGCTTATCCAAACGCGGGTCTACAGTCAAGATTAAACACCAGATGTAACTGAAAAAATTTAACTGCGAATGCATTACGTTAGCAAGGCTTCTAAATTAATTCTAGGAGAAAAAATTGCAACATAACTTACCTGAACCTTCAACTTTCAAAGGACCTTCGAATTCCCTTAGAAATAGCAAGAACTTAAAATTAATGCAAATAACTTAGAAAAAGTAATCTAAACCTCAGCAAGTTGCGCGGATAAGATACATATTAAATTTCTCAATGTAAGTTTGGAAATTGCACGTACCCCGTAAAGTTACATGGACTCGGAATAAACTCTGACAGGACGTACTGATCTGGATAATTCCAGGGAAATGTTTTCATCTCTGCATCGATTTTTTCGACCAGGTTGTACGAGTCACCCATGATTGTCTGAGAGATGAGCTCGAATGCCGATGCACAACTGCAGCGTCCAATTTTCATCAAACTATCTTTCTCTTCCGGGTCATCGTAAATCAATGACACCATTGTATTTTTTCGCTTCCGATGGCTATTATGTCCACGAAGAAAAAATATTATAAAGCCTTTTTTGTGTTTCATTCTAATTTTCTCCTGACACCTGCCATTCAAAAAGCGAACAAGAAAATCACAAAATTATTGCTGGCGGCGAAAAGGTGTTTTTAAATCTGGTCTGTGTCTATCTCTTTTGTCGTCTCTGCTTGCCATTTGAAATAAAATCGTTGTAAGACTCGAACAGAAGTGGTCTCAATAAGAAACGGATGTTTGATAGCTTTTTAAAAGAACAATATAAATAAACAAGTGTGAAGATCCTTAGTTGCTTGTTCGTAGGAAAGAGTAAGCACTTCGCGAGAGAAATGCGTTTCCGAGGCTTTTTTTTCAGAACAATATGAAAGTTAACAATAGCATTTGCCGACCAAGAGAACGTGTTTGTTTTAGATGCAACAATAGGGTTGAAAAGACACGGCAATCTTGCGCCATCAAATTAAAAGGCAAACGAGACTTCAGCAAATGTTTTAACTTTCTCAACGGAGAAGCAAAACGAATGACGTAAATTGAAAGACAGATAAGAACGAGCTTCTCGTTAATTTCAGCATCTAGGTCGCAACGAGGCACAAGCAATAAGAAAGCCGTAACTTTCTTCGATTCAACAAGCTATTGATAACACCGTAACTCAAAACTGGTTAAAATCCGTTTGAAAATCAGGCTCTAGGGAAGCTAATGCAATATAAATGACAAACACTGGATTAAGTCTCGTCTATGTTAACATTAATTTGTGTTTATCTTTCGGACAGGAACTAATTGAATCGTTCACAATGGATATATGTTATTAAGGGTTGCATTCAAATTCTTTATCCATAAGCCTGAACAAAAAGAGGGCTGCTAAATTTGATTTTAGATTTATCAATGATCATGAGTACTTGCTTCCATGATAATCTTAATAGTAATTATGAAATGGGTGTTGTTTGAATCGAGTTGAATACTCAAAAAAACTTATTGTTATGCACAAACTTAAAACACGCCGGTTTCGATGGGAGGAGGTTGGGTAGGGGGGAGGGGAGGGGGGC